TTTTTTTTTGTTTTTATTTCTGCTGCTTCTGGAAAATGGGAACCCTTTTACAATTTCAATAAGAGTTCAAGCTACTTAAGCTTTTTTGGAAAAGAAAAAAAAAAGATCCTCTATAAGAGAAATAAAACCACCGGTTCATGCAGTGGCAAATACTGAAGCCAACTCATGCTCATCAGCATGGAAACAATGGAATAAATCATGGTTTTCCTATATTGGAAAATAATAACCCTGTAAACAAAGCAAACCAAACCAAATTTGGAGTGTGCCCATGACATTTTTCTTAAGTATATTTAGAAATAGTATGCAAAATATAATACTGTCTTTGTTTAAGATAAAAATCACCAAAATTCAACTCCAGTAAAACAAAACTACATGTACATGTATTTGTTTGTGTGAGACCTTCAATATTGTGGAAGAATATATCCCAAATTGTTGTAATAGGGAAACTCAATGAGTTGGGGCAGTTTGATACTCGAGGAGAGTGCAAGAAAAATCTTTTGCTCCTCTGCTGTTAGATAGTAGTAGTAATAGAAATTCAACAACAAACAAAAGAAGACTCAGAGCTGTAATATGAAAATGGAATGAGTGGGATTTGGCAAATATTTGAATGTGAGGAGTGGGAAATGATGAAGTCAGTGATGGTTCATGAATTTCTAGATGCTGTCATTCCAGAAACAGGCAAGAAGGAAGAATCATAAGAAGGAAGAGATGTTGAATTTGGGTTATCAATCAGAGTTGCTTTCCTTCTTCTTTGAAAGAATAATTACTCTATAGGAAGTCTCCTAACTCGATCTTCAAATCTTTGGGGGGAAATGCTATTTTAATTAGACAGCAAACTCTTATATTTGAAGTATATACCAATAAAGATTTTTCTTAAACTTGATGTTTTGTAGTTACATTTCATGTGAAATTTAGAGCTGAAAAAACCAAACTGGTGTCTAATTTTTTTTACCCAATTTATGTAAATTATTCCAAAAACAAAAGAGCTTTTCTGTTTGAATTGGGAAAAATGTAAGAATTTAAAATCATCTTAAGTGAACAAAGCAAAATTTTCTATTGCATTCTAATTTGCAGAAGGTATAAAATATGACCTGCACATATTTTTACTATATTTCTTTTGTGTTGTTTTAATGTAGTGACTTCTCTTACAAGTGCTTTTTTAATTCGATGCCTAGTGAATCAACAGTGTATTGTTGCTAAAGATACTCTACAGAGGCAACCTTACAGAGATTTTTAGTTCTAGAAAAAGGTTATGCACATTTATTCCAGGGAAGTAGCATTAGAAACAGCTCCATTGAGAATTTATGCAAATACTGTCAAAATGCTGGATGAATTTATTTCTGTATAATTACATAATATTTTATGTTGGGGCTGAAATAGAAGTGTGTAATCCATCAGTATGAGCTCTTTTCTGTTGCCTAGATAAATGATTCAATATAGTCACCTGAATAAATCATTTTAAGTTTCATTTTCAGTTTTATGAAAATCTGTTACCCTTCTATACTTTTATTCTGCCTTTATCTTAATTGTGTTTTTACTTCAGATACAATTCTCATTGGTTGAATCATGTAGAGTTTCTATGAAAATATTTCTTGTATTATATTTGAAGTCTAATCTGAGTAGAAACAGTAATTTCTATAAATGCCGTATTTGTAATGTTAGTCCATAAAATTTCATGAATTTCAAAACATTCAGAGAGCTAGATGATCACATTATTGTGTGAATTCATAAGATGATTTGTTTAATTACTAATTCCTATAATTTGAGTTAAGCTACATATGACTCCACCCATTGGAGAAAATCAAGCAATAACAATAATAATTTTAATATTATGTATATTTCTTGTTTTCCAGAAAATAAATACTGCTGGAACCAGTAATGCAGATGTCCCTTTGGGTGATCCCGGAATGTACCAGTTGGACATTACATTAAGAAGGGGTCAACATTTAGCTGCCCGAGATCGAGGAGGTAAGAATGTGAAAATATGTCACCTAGAAGCTTGTTGTCTGTTTCTGTGAAAACTTAGTTTTCATTATAGTTGCTTACATTAAAAAATCAACTTTAATACTATAGAACTTAGTAGATTAGTTTCAATGATGTGATATAAAGCATTATCTGTCTTCAGGGAGATGTTGCAAATTAAAAAAATCTATGAACTAGTCTCCATCCAGACAGCAAGGCCCTTACGAATGCTGACAAATTTGTCTCTGAAATTTTAGTTACACAATCAGTTAAGTAGGTGAGACACGTATTTGAAGCCATATCATAAGTCACCTTTTGGCAGTTCTGCTGCATAGATTTATTCAATTGAATCTAATGAAAGTGCAGAATCCAGAACAAGCATCTCACCAAAAGTTTGGTGATTCCCAGAAAGTCGTTTGCTGAAGCCAGTTGAACTTGGCAATAGCCTTATGGCAGATTAAGTGGATCTTCATAGACCATGATGAAGGGCAAGACAAGGCACACACTTTTAGCTCCTGGATTTGAAATCCAAAGGCAATCTCCTTATGTACTAACCTGGCCTAGATTAGGAATTCCTTGAATCCAGGTCAGGGGTAGGACCAGGAATCGACTCTGGATAGATTATGCAGCATCTTTTGCTCATTTCTGACTATCAGCTGTTCAGGATGTGGACTCCTCAGGGGCTGAGTCCAAAAGGAAGCTGAGTCAGGTTGGAACTATTCCCACTCGGAGGTAGAAGTCCTTAAGCCTATAGAATTAAGACTAAAGAGGTAACTCTGCCATTGAACCTAAACAGAGTTCCTTCCTTCTCATGATCTTTTCTCTTCACCCCCTACTTGACTTCCATACTTACAGCATGTAAGGAACCAAACTGTGACAATAATAAGTACTTTCTGTCTCTATCTCCACAAAAATAAAATAGAGGAAATAGTTCAATATAATGGTGGTCTGCTTAGGACCAGAAGCTATATAAATAGTATATTCACTTTAAATGGAAAAACTGGTAAATATCAGAAAATTCTTTATTAATAAAGGTATTTTTGGAGATGGTAGAGTTTAAACATGGGAAAATTTCAAAAGTAACCATCTGATTTAGTAGTTGAGGACAAATATTTATTGAATTGAACTGCTTATCTCAAAAGAAGTTCCTATTAGACAAGAGAAAGGAAATAATGCCAGAATTGTTTTTTGCTATATTTATATAACATTCTTAGTTTTCAGAATGAAATTACATCGCATCATCTATTTTGTTTTGTTTTGTTGTGGGTGGGGTGATTCTGGGATGCTTGACGATGGTATTAAGAGTAATTCAAAGCCACCTCTGTAGCAGAACATTTTATTTATGTCATGGGAGAGAATTGGATGTGAGCTGGAGGTGCAGGTGTAAAAGAATTCACCAGAGAGAGTGGATAACAGAACAGGGGCTTTACTGAAATACACTAAGAGGAGCAGTGGGAGAGACAGGAGGGGTCTGCTGTACATATCGCATCATCGGATCCCAAACAGAATTTAAGAAACCTCAGGAGAGGAAAAATTTAGTCCTAAACCTGACCAGCTTAATGAATATTAAATACATATGTACACAATTGTTTATTGCAGCATTGGCTGTAGTTGCAAAATGCCCACAAAAAAAGAGGAGATTAAATAAGCTTTGGTACAGTCACATGATGAAATACTATGCAGTTGGAAAATAAAGAATAAGGAAAATTTCTAGAAATTGGTATAGAAAGTGTTACAGAATATATTACTTAATGAAAAAAAGGTGCAAAAAAGAATATGGAATGGTTGATGTAACAAAACTATATCAGAAATTATGTATCATTTATTCATAAAGAAGTATTTAATGTAAAACCCAGAAACTAAAGCGATTGTTAACATACATAATAACAGTAAGAATGGGTATCAAAAATGGGAAACATTTTACACCTTTTGGTGTAAAAAAGAAGTAATATTTCTTAAGAGACTTAACCGTATAGTTCTAACTTTTTCACCATGGCAATATTCAGAAATAATAATTATTTAATATATAAATAAAATCAGCCAAGATGTGGGAAGTACCGAAAATGAAACTATAACCACACCTATATATAACTATAACTATATATAACTATCAGGGTGATGAGGAATAAAGCATTTATCTAAGTAATATGTAAAACAGTACTTAGATTGTATACCAAAAACTCAAAACAAAAAGAACTGCACATAAATAATGTTCTCTAGGGCATGATTATCAATTCAGTAACAACTTAATGGTTATCTTAGGAATAAGCAAATAAACAAATCTATTGTATTTAAGGAAAGATAAGTTTCTCACTATTTTAGAAAAACTTACAAATATAGAAAGGGAATGCTAGTATAGATCTTTAGGTGTTAGAGAAGAATAAGGAGAGATGAATAGTTTTTAATAAATCGAGATAGAATAAACAGTGGGGATGTGTGTGTGAGAGAGAGAGTGTGTTTCTTAGCTCTGTCTGCTGAGAGGGTGCAGAAGCAGTAAGAAAGATATAATGACAAAGTAGCAATCAATGCCCGTTGGGCCCAGATCTTGATTTGAAAATATTTTCCCTAATAAAAATAAGCAGTGCTTTTGGAGAAGTGCCTTAATACAGATCTGGGGCAGGGAAAGTACATGATGAGACTAGAACATTTTGCAGTGCCAGAAAATAAGAAAGTATGCAAAGACTGATGGCAGAATGTCAAAACAATGTAGGAGCCAACTTAAAGGACTCCTGATGTCAAATTTAGCATAATTTTAGCAACAAAATAAATAATGGTAATAATAAAATACTACCCATATAATAATATACATTAGTTGATGCTGTTAAATTAATAATTGAATAATTAAGTAGAACTCTAAAAACTCCACCAAGAGATTATTGGAATTAATGAGTGAATTCTATGATGTTATAAGATAGATAATCAATAAAAATAAGTTGCATTTTTATATACCAACAACCAATTATCAGAAAGAGAATTTAAAAAGGCGTTACATTTCCAATCACATCATCAAGAATAAAACACTGGCCCTTCCTTGAGGCATAATGGGTTAAAATGCAGCACTATGAGGCTTTCTGCAGCTGCTGTTCTAAGAGTTCAATTCCAGGCCAGGGAGCTGACCCACATAGCATGGCAGACCTCTCCCATCTTGCCCATTGCTCCCCTCAGCAATGCATTTCAATCTGCCTGTTCTTCCCACTCTGTCTCTGGTGAATCCTCTCACCCCCTGCAACTCTGGTCTGTACCCTAATTCTTGGATGCATGAATGAATAAATCTTTAAAAAAAGAATAAACAACTAGGAATAAATTTAACTGAGTAAATGAAAGGTCAATAGAGTGAAAACTATAAAACATTAAAGAAATGATTAAAGAAATGGAAGATGTTACAAATAAATGGAAGGCTATTCCATGCTCATGGATTGAAAGAATTAATATTGCCCAAAAAATCCCTATTACAAAAGCAATCCACAAGGTTGATGCAATCTCTATCAAAAGTCCAATAGAGTTTTTTTACAGAAACAAAACAAATATAAAATTTATATTGATCCACAAAAGAATTCCAAATAGGCAAAGCCATCTTGAGATAGAAGAACAAATTTGGAGGTACCATACAACCTTGAGTTCAAACTATATGACAGAGCTATAGTGATATAACTAAAATGGTATTAGAGTAAAAACAAAGGCATAGATCAATGAAACAGAATTAGTTGAGAAGTAAATCCATGCTTTTACAGTCAACTCAGCTATGACAAAAGAGGTAAGAAAATGCAGCAAGGTAAATAAATGATGTTCTCATGAAATGGTGTTGGGCTAAACAGCCACATGTAGAAGAATGAAACTGGACCTCTATTGTAATACCAAACACAAAAAATAATGAGAATTGGTTAAACACCTAAAGCCATAGAAGCTAACACAGATGGTAAATTCCTTGAAATTGCACTTAGCAATGTTTTTCAGGATTTGACCCCAAAGGCAAGGGCAAAAACAACTAAATGTAAAAAGGTATTTGTAAATCATATATCCAAAGTAGGGGTAATATCCAAAATATACAAAGATCTCATACAACTGAACTAAAGATAAAATCTGTTTTTAGAAGGATAGAGGCACTGAACAGTCATCTTTTTATCACTCTTTTATCATAGCAAGTTGTTCTCTGTAGACATCTGTTAAAAATAGTAACTTTTTAAAAAGTAGAATGAGATAGCTAAATTTTTAAGAAAATGTTACATTGTGTAAGTGGAGAATAACTTAACATGTTTAAAATGCGGACTCCAAACCAGTTTCAAAATTTTACTTACCTGACTGGTGTTTGTAGTTTTTATTTAGTAGATATATAAGAAGAGTTATTTAAACAGCAGAAACCATCTGAATTAACTTTGGGATTTATTACAATTTATCCTCCATCAAACTATGACTAACAGTTATGTTGAGTATATGATTTTATGGATAGTATTGAGGTTTCTGAATTTATATACCTATAATTGGTAGGATAATTAGATGGAGTTGTATAATTTGAAATGGGAAAACAAGATGATGGTCATGTGGGAAAATGGTTTTTAAGTGCCAGGACAGGGATTACAGATATTGAAATGAAGAAGGAAAGAAAATATGAGAGGAGGATTCAGGAGTATGTCCAGTAGCACTCGAGATCAATTATGGAGCTTTAAAATTTTTGAAATTTTAAGGTTGCTGGTGTCTGGAAGCCATGTGCACATTGCTATGGTGAATGTAAGCAAAATATTTACTTAACTATTAAGCAGAAATTATACTCTTTTGTCATTTATCCCAATGAGGCCCTCACCTATTTCTCAGCAAAAACAAATGCATATGCGCACCCATCCCATATCCTTGGGCAAGATAGTGGAAAGGAAAAACTCTTTCTAGCATTGACACAATCTCTAGAATGTTGTTTGTATGTTTCATCTCCAGGATTCTCCTTTATATACAATAGGTACTGATGTGGGCTCAGCAGTCATGTGGTTTTTCTTCCATTTTTTATAACTTGATTT